TCCTGGTGGTGAATAGGTGGGTTGTTCTGTTTCTCCCTAAAACAATTGGTACAGCTAGAGACATTCTCATGCAGTATCTTCTTGGTGGTACATGAGCACAGAATTCTCTGAGGAGGATCCCAGAATCAGAATTGCTAGGATATAAGAAATATTCATCTTAACTTAATGGATAATGCAAAATTGTTTCACTAAGTAGGTGGGTAGTATTCGAGAGTACAGGGTGTCCGGAATAGGCCTTGAGTGAGTCCGGTCAATGTTTGGCTGCGGGTTGGTGTAGAACATTAGGTGGACGTAGGGGGTTGTTGAATTGTGATGGTTGTTTCTTTTGGCCAGTCGTGCATAGTCACATGTGAGCAGATTTTCTATTTGGGTGACTTTCTGATTGAGTATGAGGTTGAGCATGTGTGGTTTTGTGGTGTTGAATTTGTGGTAAGTGGTGTTGTGTGTGTGCTATAATCAGAATATGCAACTTTTATTCGGATTTATCTATGTGAGTTGTTGTGATTTTTGATAATTAGTTACGTAGTGTCGGAGCAGGTATTCAGGAGATGTAGTAATCTTTGTTCTTTTTTGGAGACAGGAGTTTCGCTGCTGTTAACCGTTAAGGATTATTTGACCAATTGCTTTTATGCTTTTGAATCTTTACATAAATGGAATCATATCGTAGGTATTTCTTCTGTAACTTATTTTATTTATTTATTTTTTTTTTTTTCTTGAGACAGTATCTTGCTCTGTCACCCAAGCTGAAGTACAGTGGAGTGATCATAGCTTGCTGTAATCTTAACTGCTAGACTCTAGTGATCCTCCTGCCTCAGCTTCCCAAGTAGCTGGGACTATAGGCGCATGTCACCACGCCCAGCTAATTTTTAAAAAATTTTTTTTTTTGTAGAGACAGGGTCTTGCTACGTTGCTAAGGCTAGGCTCCAACTTCTGGCCATAGGTGATGTTCCTGCCTTGGCCTCCCAAAGCGCTAGGATTGCAGGCATGAGCCGCTGCACCCAGCTGTAACCTATTCTTTCACACAACATTATGTTTGTGAGCATTATCTATGTTAGGGAATGTAGCTACAGTTCATTAAATATTGCAGTTGAATATATTATAGTATTTCATTAAATGTATAGACCACAATTTATCCATTTTCCTGGTGGTGAATAGGTGGGTTGTTTTGTTTTCTCCCTAACAACAATGGGTACAGCTAGAGACATTCTCATGCATATCTTCTTGTGTACATGAGCAAGAATTTCTCTAGGGGAGATCCCAGAATCAGAATTGCTAGGATATAAGAAATATTCATCTTCAACTTAATGGATAATGCAAAATTGTTTCACTAAGTAGTTATATCAATGTACAGTTCCAATAGCCTTGAGTGAGTCCTCAATTTTCTGCTTTGTAATACTAGGTACTGTGGGGTTGTTGGAATTGTTATTTTTTTCTTTTGGCCAGTCTGCATATCACATTACAATTTCTAATTTGTACTTTCTGATTACTAATGAGGTTGAGCATGTTTTTGTGTGTTAATTGTGGTTAATTGTGTTTTTGTCTATAATCAACTATGCAACTTTTATTCATTTATCTATTGAGTTGTTTGATTTTTTATAATTTATTACTAGTTCTACACGTATTCAAGATAGTAATCTTTTTCTTTTTTGGAGACAGAGTTTCGCTCTGTTTCCTGGGCTAGAGTGCCATGGCATCAACCTAGCTCACAGCAACCTCAAACTCCTGGGCTCAAGTGATCCTCCTGCTTCAGCCTCCTGAGTAGCTGGGACCACAGATGTGCACCACCACACCTGGCTAATTTTTTCTATTTTTAGTAGAAATGAGGATTCTCAATCTTGCTCAGGCTGGCCTCGAACTCCTGAGCTCAAGCAATTCTCCTGCCTCAACCTCCCAGAGTGCTAGGATGATAGGTGTAAGCCACTGTGCCTGGCCTACAGTCTTCAGTTTAATATAGTCACATTTATCAAGCTTTTACTAAGTGATTTGTGCTTTTGGAGTCTTATTTTATTTTATTTTGAGACAGAGTCTCACTCTGTTGCCCGGGCTAGAGTGCTATGGTGTCAGTCTAGCTCACAGCAACCTCAAACTCCTGGGCTCAAGCAATCCTTCTGCCTCAGCCTCCCAAGTAGCTGGGACTAGAGGCATGCGCCATCAAGCCCGACTAATTTTTTCTATATATTTTTAGTTGTCCAATTAACTTGTTTCTATTTTTAGTAGAGACGAGGTCTCGCTCTTGCTCAGGCTGGTTTCAAACTCATGACTTTGAGTGATCCGCCTGCCTCGGCCTCCCAGAGTGCTAGGATTATAGGCGTGAGCCACCGCGCCCAGCCACTTTGGGGATCTTTATTAAGAAATCTCCTTTAAAAGACAAAACATTTCTGCCCTTATTTCGAAAATTTCAAAGTTTTAGTTTTCACATTTAAGTTCTTAAATTATCCAGAATTGATTTCCCTGTGCCCTGTGATTTAGGATCTATTTCATTTTCAGTGTGGAAACACAATTTTTCTATTTTTATTAAATTTTCTCTGGTTTCCCTATTGATCTGCAATGTTATCTCTGTCATATCAGGTATTGATGCGGAAAATGGCGGGCGCCAGGATGGGGCCTGGCCGCTTGCCGCCTCCCCGTAGTTCCGCATCTCCGCAGGCCAGCGCTGCACATGGCCAGTTAGAGGCATGCTGTTGGGGCCAGGCCTGCAGCACACAGCCGCACCAGGACCCCTCGAGCCGTGGGGATCCCAGGCTCACTAGCCGCTGCCTTTTTCCGGCCATCCTGTTTGTGTGATCCTGATTGGGTAATTTTTGAATCCCACTGTTTTTGATTGGATGTTAAAGCTTGTTGTTCGTTGGATGTTAAAGCTTGTTGCTGATTGGATGCTTCTTGAGCCCTACCAAGAGTATAAAAGCAGGGGCAGAAGAGCAGGAAGGGGAGAACATCAGAAGACATGAAGACAGCTATTGTGATACTAGGTGTGCTGAGTCTGCTGTCGAAGAATAAAGGCTGTCCTACTATTCGTGTGCCGTGCCGCTGGGTTCTTTCCCCGGTCAGATGGATAAGATCTGTAACGCTAACTGTACACACTGCCACAACAGTATCAATACTTGTTCGATCTGGTTTTGGATTCTCTGTTCTATCTATTGCTTGACTATTCCTGGGCTAATACAATATTTTATTAGTTATTTTAACTTTATAAATATTTCTCTAGATCTTGTTGATGAGTCTCCTACTTTGCTCTTCTTTTATAAGAGTGTCTGGAATTGGGTTTTTTGTTTTATTTTCTTGCTATTTCTTATCAATATTTTAGAGTCAGTTTATCAAGTTAGACACATACACATATATACATAAATATTGGGAAATTTGTTGAATTTGTTTTTGTTTTTGTTTTGAGAGTCTCACTTTGTTGCCCAAGCTAGAGTGAGTGCCGTGGCGTCAGCCTAGCTCACAGCAACCTCAAACTCCTGGGCTCAAGCGATCCTGCTGCCTCAGCCTCCCAAGTAGCTGGGACTACAGGCATGTACCACCATGCCCAGCTAATTTTTTCTATATATATTAGTTGGCCAATTAATTTCTT